AAATCTTGCAGAAATCCAGAAGATCAATACCTACTTCAAGAACCTGTATTTTAATAAGATGGAAAACACAGGAGAAATGGGCAGATTCTTAGAAACACATGAATTACCAAAGATGAATCAAGATATAAAAATCCTAAATAAACCAACATCAGGCAATGAAATTGAAAATATAATTAAAAACCTACCAACAAAGAAAAGCCCAAGCCATGATGAATTCACTGTTGAATTCTACAAGACATTTAGAGAACACCTAATGTCATGATTTCTCACTCTTCGATGAAACTGAGAGGGAAGCAATACACCTAAACTAATTCCTGGAAACAAGTATTACCCTGATACCAAAACCAGGGAAGGATCAAAAAAAAAAAGAGAGCCACGGGCTGGGAAAATAGTTCAGTGGCACAGCACCAGCCTGGTAAGCACAAGGTCCTGAGTTCAATTCCTGGTACCTAAAACAAAACATAAAAAACAGGGCTACAGGCCAATCTCCCTAATGAACATAGAGGCAAAAATCCTCAATAAAATACTGGCAAATAATGCAGCAAATCATCAAGAAGACTATACACCATGACTGAGTAGGATTTACCCAAACAGTTCAGGGATAGTTCAACATATGCAAATCAATAAATGTAATATAACATATTAACAGAGCCAAGGACAAAAACCATATGATCATCTAATAGATGTAGAAAAGTATTTGACAAAGTCCAACATCCACTCATAACAAAAAACAAAAAAAAACAAAACAAAACAAAAAAAAAACCCTACAGACAATTGGAATAGATGGTCTTCATCTCAATTGGATAAAAGCCATCTATGACAGACCAACAGCCAACATCACAGTAAATGGTCAAAAACTGAAGGCTTTCATTTTGAAATCAGGAACAAGACAAGGATGTCCACTATCAACACTACTGTTCAATATAGTTCTGGAAACATTAGCCAGAACAATTAGACAAGAGAAAAAAATAAAAGGAATAAGGCTAGGAAAGGAATAAACTAAATTAAAATCTTTTGTGGATGACATGATACTCTACACAGAACATCCTAATAACTCCACCAAAAGACATCTAGCTTTAATAACCAAAATCTGTAGCATAGAAGGATACAAAGTCAGCACTCAAAAATCAATAGCATTCCTATACACAAATAACAAACTCACTGAGAAAGCAATTATGAAACATCTTTTACAATAGTATCCAAAAAAGCCGAAATACTTAGAAATCTCATCCAAAAAACTAAAATACATTGAAATCAATCTAACAAAGGAAGTAAAAGACATCTGCATTGAAAACTATACCACTCTGAAAAAGGAGATTGGAGAGGGTATCAGAAAATGGAAAGAGGCTGGGTATGGAGGTGCACACCTATCATCTTAGCACTTGGGAAATTGAGGTTTGTTGTAAACTGGAGGACAGCCTGGCCTACACTGTGAATTCAAGGTTAGCCTAAATTACAGAACAAAAGGGAAAAACTTAAAAAAAAAAAAAGATGGCAGTATTACTCTTGGGTAGGAAGAACCAACATACTGAAAATGGCCATACTTCCAAAATTGTTACTCTGATTTAATTCAATCCCAATAAAATTACCAATAGCATATCTTGCCAAATTAAGAGAAAATAATCCTAAAATTCATTTGGAATCAGAAGGGACCGAGAATAGCAAAGCAATTCTGGGCAACAAAAGCAAGGCAGGGCACATCACAACTCCTAACTTGAAACTATACTACAAAATTACAGTGATAAAAACAGCATGGTACTGGCAAAAAAAAAAAAAAGAGAGAAAAAACAGACCTGAGGATCAATGGAACAGATTAGAAGATGCAGAAACAACTTCTAACACATTCAACCACCTTACATTTGACAAAAGAGCCAAACACTTTCACTGGAAGAAAGACAGCTTCTTTAATAAATGGTGCTGGAAAAACTGGCTTTCCAAATGCCAAAGATTAAAACTAGACTCATCTCTTTCACCATGCACTGAACTAAAACAGAAATGGATCAAAAGATCTAAATAGTAAAACAGAAACACTAAATCTGTTGGAAGACAGAATAGGCAGAACTCGTCAAGTCACTGGTATAGGCAAAGACTTTATGAACAAAACACCAATGGCATAGGAACTACCACAAAGAATCACCTGGATCTCATCTTATTAAGAGCTTTTTGCACAGCAAAAGAAACCACCAACAGAGTGAAGAAACAACCCAGAGTGGGAAAAAAAATTGCCAGCTGTTCCTCAGACAAAGAACTAACATCTAGAATATATAAAGGACTCAAAAAAATTCAGACTGCCCCCCCCCAAATTTAAAGACTCAATCCAAAAATGGTCATCTCAAATGAATAGACACTTCTCAGATATAGTAGAAAGGGCAAATAAATACATGAAAAAATATTCAGCATCACTGCTTACTCAAGAGATGCAAATTAAAACAACACTGAGATTCTATCTCACTCTAGAAAGAATGGCTATTACCAAGAAATCAACCAATATTTAATGCTGGTGGGGCTGTGGGGAAAAAAGGACCCTTCTCCACTGTTGGTGAGAGTGTAGACTGGTGCAATCAGTGCAGGTTCCTCAAAAAAACTAAAACTAGAGATATCATTGAACCTAGCTTTTCCCTTTCTTGGTTACTTTCCTGAAAGAATTAAAAGCATCATACCACACCAATACATGCACACTCACGTTTACAGCAGCAGTTTGTTTAACAGCTAAGTCTTGTAAACAGCCCAGATGCCCATCAACAGATGAATGGATAAAAAAGATGTGCTTTTATACACACACACACACACACACACACACACAAATGGAGTACTATTCTGCCATAAAGAATAAGCTTGAGACATTTCTAGTTATTACCTAGAAATGCTTCTTGAGACCATACTATTAAGTGAAATAAATCAGATACACATGTTCAAATACCACATTGTTTCTCTGATATGAGAAACTGAAAGTATAAATAAAGACCAAAATGTATAATAGACATTGGGAAATGGGAAGAAAATGTTCAAATGAGAAGGGGAACAAGAGAGGAGTAAGGTGGAAAGAAGGGACAAGAAAAAAAAGAAGGGGGGGAAATGGAAACAAAGCTTTTATAAATAAAGAAGGGAAGAGAGGTTGGAGGGAAAGGAGAATGAGAAAAAAAGCAGCAAGATATTATGATGTACAGGTACAAATTTCCTATGATGAATCTTATCATTATGTATACCTAAAATGTACCAATTTTAAAAAAAGCCAAAAGGGGCCCAGGAGCATGGGGAGCCATTGGCGGGGAGCGCCGCTCTTCGGGCTGGTTCACTCCCTGCCTCGTAGGCGCCCAGAAGGAGGGCCCCCAGCACAAGGGGAGCCATGTGGCGGCAAGTGCTATTGCACGCCGGCCTGAGGGCCAGCTGCCGCTGCTCAATTGAGAACAAGCATGGCACAGAGAAACAGTGACACAACTGGCCCACCATGCACCGGCAGCAGATGCCCACCCACGGATGTGTATGAATCATTTAAACAAGGAGAAACCCCTGGGAATACATGCCATGCAACGGGTCACTCTTGCTCCTGCCATTGAGAACCAGAAAGATCCAGAGTCAGTGGAGAAGCAGATGCTGAACAAGGACCTGGAGAACATGAGAATGCAGACTAAGCCCACGGAGTCAGAGGTCCTGTGGACTGGGGTCATGAGTGCCACTCGGAAGCTGTAAACCAGGAGGACCTTGCACAATACCTGTGGAGACTCCCTGGAAGCCATTCTTCCCCTGACAGTACAGGCTGTGGTGGAGCTCCGGAGAAGTCTGCAGCAGGATTCCTGCTGCCTGTGCTGACAGTTGGGGAGAGGGCACTAACTGGTTGTGGGGTCCTGACGCAATGGAAGGCTGGAGAGAAAACGCTACAAAAAAATGGCTTTCACCCCAGATGGCTTGCTTGATTTTTGACAACGTTTAGGCTGTAACTACTTGTTAGATCCTTCTTGCATATCTCTGTCTTCCTGAGAA